AAAAAAAAAAAAACTGGAGAACATAGAAAGAATAGTCGTTGGCACAGTATAGTGTAGTATAAGCCTTTTACAAGCTAAGTGATTTTGTGACATTTTTATTTCTCACTCTGCCTGATCTACGTACATGTAAGCTTCTGAACTGAGCTGTGGTCTGATCAGTCAGACATCCAGTCAGGTCAGTGTAAAACGCAGACTGCGGACTGCAGACTGCAAACTGGAGACCAGTAGAGAAATGCAGACTATTTAACTGAATACTTAAAAAGTCTGTAGTCTGCAGTCTGCATTTTAACCCTGGTCTACAGTCTTCATTTTACCATCAGTCTGCATTTTACCCCTGGACTGCAGTCTGCAGTCCACAATCTGTGTTTTACACTGACTGGCTCCACCCTTGTCAGCTATCATGTGATAGAAATCTCGAGCTTATAATCTAATTGTTTATTGGTAAAAATCTAGTAGTGTCCTATTGCGAATGCCATTCTTCTGTTGGCTGTTCTGCTTACTATCCATTCTGTTGTAGATAGTGAGTAGCCTAGCGGTGTGCTCTTCATAACAAACTGGTGACTGCTTTTTACGTTTTCGAAGTGTCATTGAAGAGGATTTAAATACAATTTTGAATNTAGATAGTGAGTAGCCTAGCGGTGTGCTCTTCATAACAAACTGGTGACTGCTTTTTACGTTTTCGAAGCGTCAGTGAAGAGGATTTAGATAAAGTTGTGAGTGACTGGTAGATTTATATTAAAACAATATTTGCTTTCAATTTCTATTAATGATAGTTGACTCAGGCTGCACTCTCGTCAACTAACACATGATGTACATGTGCACTGTAATGTGTGTTTAAATCATGCAATTTCAGAGTGTAGAGTTTCATGAGAGAGGCAAAAAACACAAGGAAAATGTACAGAGGAGAATTGAAGAGGTAAGGATTAGGGTACTCATTACTACCCGTGTTTTTGACCTTATTAAATAATCATGTAGACATGATGACCAATGCGAATGCAGCCATAACACGACTGGAAAAAAGACCTGAAAAAATTTTCAGGCTTTGAATGGGATTTGAACCCATGACCTTTGTGTTACCAATGCAATGCTCTCCCAACTGAGCTATCAAATCCACAGGAGAGTGGTCATGTGTGGGTTGGCCCTTTATGTTCAGTGGACATAATACTCAGCTCAAGTATGTGAATTTCATAGTAATAGATGTTTTTCAGGTCTTTTTACCAGTAGTGTTATGGCTGCATTCACATCTATCATCATGTCTACATTTAATTGCTACTGTTGGACATGTAGCATCCCATCAAGGGGGGAGTAGAAATAC